GACACAACATATATAAATCCCAAAATAATTTTATCTTAAAAAATTATCCTACCTTGAAAAGTGCTATCAAAGTATTCAATAGAACAAGTCTTAGATAAGGTATCTAAGATATATGGAAAAGTCCAGGGGTGCACTATGACTTTAGAGCCTTGAAATTAAAAGGGTAAATTTTATATATGACAAATAGATTTAAGCAAATAATGTTCCATAGCTATAGTTTATCTAATTACCATCCATGGCTACAATTATTTGCTATGGAATCTTGTGTTTGAATATCCAATTTATTTATTTAAAAAGTATACAAATCATCCACTTTTAATTAATGAATATATGAGCGCTAAATTCGATAACAGAAATAACAGTGAATCCCAGTATTTATGCTAACATATTTTTTTTTGCCTAAAATGACTTCTACTACAATAATAACACCATAATAATTAGATTCATCATATTGGAGAAGCTCCATTAAAAGGAAAAAATTATATGTTTTATTTTGTATACGTATAAAATATTATGCGTTTTATATCATGGATTTATCATAGAACGTATATGTTCCATATGTATATTAGAATTATATGTGTACGATAATATTTGAATATGTATATAGATGGTACAATTTGTATATAAATATAAAGGCTTAAGTTATCGCCGTCCCCTTAAAGTTGTCCGCATAATTCAATTAAAAACCTTATCTAAGGCTTGTTCCAATTGAACACCTTCATTAGTTAAAATATATACCTATTGAACATTTTCTGACAATCAACTAAAAATAGAGAGTGAGGGCATCTCCAACCCTGTTCTCTATTTCACTCTTCAAATATAAAGTTCTCTATTTTTTCAGACAATCAACTCCAATCAAATTCTCTATTTTACTCTCTAAAAAAGAATCTTTTTATCTCTTCAATATTATATTATTATTTCTATTTCATTCTTATTTTCTTATTTCATAATATAAATCCCTTCTTTCTTTTTTTCGAAATAATCACTTTTATATAATTTTCATGTAGTATAAATTTTGTTTTGTCAAATTCTCTTTTTAATATAAAATTATATTTTATTCTAAATTTCTAAATAACATAAATTAGAAGCAAATATTACATACAATTAATGAACAATTCAAATAAAAGTGAAATCATTAATGAAATATAATTATACAAGCATTACATAAATACCTAACTTTCAAGATTATTACGTTGCTCACAATAAATGCTCTATTAACACATTATGAAGTTCAAAATGAGCATTTTTATCCGTAATTTTTTTTATGTCTAGCGAAAAATTGTTCAATAGAAGATTTTCATCTACCACCATTTTTGTCGTTGCAATTGGAGCCTCTACGACATCTTGAATTGGTGCATTAAGATTACGTCCACCCTCGATTATCATGTAGTGCAATATAATACATGTAGTCATTATATCATGTAGCACTTTTTTTTTCCAAAAGCGTGATTGTCCTACGATAATTGCAAAACGTGATTGCAAACCTCCGAATGTATGTTCAACATCTTTTCGGCTCAATTCTTGTTTCATCGTGTAATATTTCTTCTTTTGAGAACGTGGATTACAAATAGTTTGAACAATTGTAGACCATTTAAAATTGTGCATTATTTATAGTGAAAATTAATAATAAAATCAAATTATATTAAATTGACATCAAAGATTAAAAAAAGAAATATTATTAATTCGGAATGAAAGTAATATATATTAAATAATATATATTTTTAAAAAAATTATATTACATTTAAGAAGAATTACAAATATTAGAGATTTAATTCATAGCTTTATATGAAAAATAATATGCTAATTACAAAATAATAATATAATAATGAAAACGTAAAATAAAGAGTGCGAATAGTAGTTCTTCAAATTTGGAGAACTAGTATTCAACTCTCTCTATATATGGAGAATAATGAGTGAAATGGAGGGTGGTTGGAGAGCCTATTGTCACGCCCGCCACATCACATTGAAATTTTGTGTCCGAATAGGGGCGGAAGGGTCTAGAGTTGTGGAGAGGTTTCCGGAAGACTCTAGAACCCTTTAGATTATTCAAGAAGGCTAGAGAATTCTAGGGAATTAGAAGGCAATGGAAGATCCTAGATAGTTTCCAAGAAAGCCTTAGAATTCTCTAGAATGTGTAGACATTTCTAGAAGAGGGACTAGATATTTCTTGGAAAGCTTTAGAATTTCCTAGAATTAGTAGAAGATTCTAGGGAGGGACCAAAGTGTAAATAGTTTAGGAACTTGTAAAGTAAATATTAATTATATTTTAGTCCCTAGGAGATAGTATAAATAGAGGTGCCCCTCATTTGCAAGGCACCATCCAAGAAAGCAACCAAGCATTCAAGCAACTTGTAAAGCATTCTCCAAGCAATATAAAACCTTCTTCCAAAATTCTCTAAGTCTTTCCTTTCATTCTCTTAGCGATCTTAGTCGTAAAGGCTTACTTGAGCTTACAAGATCGTGAAAGATTCGTGAGTAAGTTGTCAAGTACCGCACGGAACATTTGTGAGAACTCTAAGCCCGTGACACTATTCTCTATTTTACTCTCCAAATATAGAGAATGGAGAGTAAAATAGAGTGGGATTGGAGATGGTCTGAGTGACATACACTCGCGGGTGATTATGCACAATAACCAATAAAAAAAGACATGTGGCATTGACCCATAATAACAATTAAAAAATTAAATTAGAAAGAAAAATAAAATAAAACTACTTTTTTAGCCAAAAAAAAAAAGGAAAAGAAAAAGAACCTTTCTTCCCATTTCTTCTTTGCCACAACACTCACCCAACCACATCGCCTCCATACACATAGAGTTGCAGTCGGCTAAAACCACAAACACTCCGATTATCATCGTAACTCCACTTTATCTCTCTCAATTCACAGAAAGATTTGTTTCCCACCCATACACCTACCCCCTCCTTTATTCTAAAACCCATCAGCATTGTTGTGCCATTTCTCCAAATCTCACCTTTTTTTTTTCAAACGCCAATTCAGATTCGTATATTTCTTTAATTCTTCTACGTTGTGAGTTCTTTAGGGTTTGAATTCTTTAACAATTTTAAGAAAATAATTTCAGATTCGTATTAGTCTTGCCGGAAAAAATGGTGTTTCACCGGAATTATTTTTGACACAATTTGATTATTATTGTTTTGATGAAATTCTCTTCTACAACTCCAAGATAATGACGATGATATTGAGAATGGCGGAATAATGCTAGAAAGAAAGAATTAAGGAGTATATGGGGAAGGGGTGTGGCGGGGGACGGTGGCTTAGAAATTTGACTGGTAAGAATTCTAGGTAATATGAAATTGAGAAGTCCAATTGGAGGAAGACGACTGCCATGAATTTAACTAGTAGATTCAGTTTCTCTTTTAAACAAAAAATGAAGGAAAAAACATGGAACCAAAACAAAGTGTAAAAGATCTTCTAAATTGACTGAAGAAGATGAGTGCTCGGAAGAGACGAGTGTTAAAGGGGTATGGGTGAGGTTGTTTTTCTTTTTTAAATTAAGAGATTATTGTTGAACTAAATTATTATTAATTTTACTTATTTAGTTAATGTATCCAGGTTTCAAAACATTACAAAATTAACTTTAAAAAAAAATTAAAAAAAATATTGGGATTTATTCACACGCTCAAGGACAGTGAATTACACTTATCTTGCCACATAAACATTTTATGTTTAATGGGTATATGTTTTGAACAATTTAAGTGTTCAATTGATACAAGTCCTAGTTAAGGTGTCTAAGTGAATTATGCGGACAACTTTAAGGGGCCGCCTATGAATTAAGCCTAATATAAATTGTATATGTATATGAAGATGAATATGTATATACATATAATGAACACATGATTTATATATACAAATATATAAAACACTTCAATATAAACTATAAATATATGTATGAATATGTGTATATGTAAAAGAATATGTGATTTACATGTACAAATATATAAATATGCTTCAACACAGTTATGTATATACTATATACAGTAATCAGTCACAATTATGTATATGTACAAATAATAACAAAAAAAATATACAAATTATCAATTCCGATAAGAACTTTTATTCCTTAAATATACAAACTGGGTACATTGGTTCTTAACCTTAGAATCGATTAGAAAAGCAATTGAATCATCAACGATAAGAGACCGATTAGGTGCACTCCTCATCTGCAATGCATGAGTAATAAACCCCAACGACAAAATTCTTTTTCAAAAGAATTTATGGACAAGAACAACAAAAACAGTTACAAGAGTAGAAACAACGGCATCAAAAGTGGGAATAGCAGCTCCGATAGAATCACATTGTCCAGATGAAAGCCCAAATAGTATACAAACGAAAAAATGAAAAAACAAAAAGATTGAGAAAAGATTTAGGTAGTTACCTGTAAAATTGAAAAATTGTTTAGGAGCGAGATGGGGAATTTCAGATTTCAAAATGGAACTATAAGAGTGTTTTTAAGAGAGAAGCAGAATGTGAAGAGGAGAGATAAAATTTAGTTTATATAAAATCATATATAAGGCATATAAAGATTTTCTTTGTTGGGTATACAATGAAACGTGGATCTCATAATTAATGGCAAAAAAATCAAAATTGTAACCACTCTGAGTAATTAAATTAAACTATACCCTCTTTAACTATGCCAACTCATGTAATTTTCCCAAATTAAAATGCATTAATCCCATCAATGTCATTACTATTGCAGTTGCAGTCTCATATTGCATGAAATAACCAACATTCACACTCTCCCAACAGAATTTTCGAAACTTTCTTACTCGTTACAATGCTGAAGGCAATGTCTCCAAATCTCTACCCAAAAAAAAGAACAAAGTTTGCAGATAGCCTTAGCTTGTACTCACTCTTGTCCCAGATGCAAACCAAGGAGATTAAAGAAGGCCATAAACGAAGTAAAATACTATATATGATGTATTACATTCGCTTGTTCAATATTTTGCACATTTACACTAGCAGTGAACAGAGGAGTTAGTAATAGTTCACAGACGAGATTGATCAGTAGGATATGGGGATGCTGCATCTGAACCACACTTCACATCCATATCAGAAACAGGTGCTCCCGGAACAAGAATCAGACCTGTACAGACTCAACATGATTTAGCAAACGAGTGGCGCTGCTGCTACTGACTTTATATGCTTGGGCCTTGGCGACAAGTGCAATGATTATTAGTGGAATTTAATCTTCATTTCTGCTGTGTTACTAGTCGCATATTCTCAAAGGCTTCTCACGCCAGTGGCGATTCTGCAACATCAAAGGAAATTATTTATAAGTCATTTTGCTCATCTTAAACGAAAGTCAGCGCAATATCAGCTTTCACAAAAATAAATAAATGTTCCACTCAATTAAGTAGCCACTACTAGCAGTAAGGTCCCTCGCATATTAAGAATTTCAAGTTCAGTGGAACTGGGGCTTATCGGAATTGGGCTCAGACATCCCTCAAAGAAAAGTATACGTTCCTTTCCTGCCAAATAATAAATAAACCGCTACAACGAGTAGAAAAGAAATTTTAGTAGATACAGTAGCCTAATCAAGTCAACCTATGTCATTAGTCCGAGACTCTTCTTGGTATCAATCTTAGAGATCAAGCACTGAATTGTAATGCCCACATGTCAGAACCGGATACACAAATTACCTGATGTGTTGCATGCGTCCTTTTAAAAGCACCGTCAGAATGCTCCAATCCAAGATACTGCTCCCGAGCACGAGAGACATTCCCCCTTTGCTGCAGAGGAACAAGAAGATGTAAAACAATCTAACATTTAATCACACAAAGATGATGTGTGATGAGGACATGAGACTAGATCATGAATTTAGCACCACTCCTTTTTGCATTTTTCTTTTTCAGATTTGAGGAGTCATTTTAATACCTGGAAACGACTCAACAAGATGTCCAAGTCCTCAAGGTACTCAGGCCAATCAAACGTGACGATTGCAAATTTCCACTGGAAAATTGTAAACAAAAGAAGTAACTACCTAATATAGGATCTAAATGAGAAAGGAATTCTTGTAACTACCCATTGAAACCCTCATTCATGGGAATGAAAACATCAAGTTGCACATTACCTTAGCAAAATCTTCATCGGGGACCTGCAATTTCTTCTGTATACGCAGCTTAAGTTCAGCTAATGTCTCCTTCTCGCGGATAATCAAGAGAAAAGGTTCCCCAAAATTTTTAATTTTCTGTTAGAGACAAGAATATAGTGATACATAAGACACATTTCTGAATTTCAAGTGACTGCAGAAAAGTTGTCTCCTAATTTTTCTCTCTCCTAACTTAAACTCTCCCTCCATCTCTTCTTCTTTCTTTCCTCCTCCCACCCCTAGGGTGAAGGGAAAACCAATCAGATAGTGGGGGGCACGAGTGCAGAAGAATCTTACCATTTGGTTTTGTGCTGCCTCCTTATTAAAGTGGTATACATGAACCAAACGATCATGTGGGCCAATATTTTTCTCTTCTTCAGGTATCTGCAAGAAAGAAGGATCCACATTGATGAACTGCTGCACTACAAAACAACTTTAAATGTCACAGTCATATCTAATGCTGAATGTCAGGTTTGGGAAATTATTCCTTGTTACTTCTGAAAAACTTCCGTGTCATGAATTCTGATGTAACAGTTCCATGCCTATCATAGGGTTCAATGGAAAGACGGGGCAATTTTCATGTCAGTGGAAACTTATATCAGAAACATCAAAACAAAGATCAGTAATACCACTTTTCTTTCGATAAAGCATCACCTTAATATTAATGACTTAACCACCATCAGTTTATCAAACTTCTAATTCTAGTACAGCTCTCAGTTATGCAAGATTCTGTTATGATTCCATTTTTTCTTGTTTTCCTTATACATCACTTTCCTTGTTTTCCGTCATATTCCTATTTTCGTTCTTTTTTACTTTTTGGAGGATGCAGGTTTATCCATGAGATTCTTAATCTTCTCCGTAAAAAAGAACTAAACTCTGTCTTCTAGTTGTATATAAGCATCTTAACTACTTTCCTTGATTCTATCATTTGGACCCCCCCGCACCCTCAAAAGAGAAGAATGGGTTCAGTGAAAGGGAGAAAGAGAAGGAGAACCTCTTCGGCCCGTAGCGTCCAGTACCGATCATTTATGTTTTCTATCTTCTCTGTAGTTGGCAATATCTGCACAAAAGCAATCATAAGGAACAAGAGGAAAGATAATGCAAAGAAAGACAGTTCTCTCCAGAAGGAAATGAATAGAAAAACCACCATTTCAGGAACCTGTAAACTAAATGTGCAGATGAAGCAAACTTTAACAGCTCCTATTAGGATACTGTGTTACTATCACGTGGAAATTGCCAGAACCAGTAAATCAAGGAACAAAGATTAGAAGGTTAACTTTGAGGCAATAATCAATAAGAATAGAAAGTAATACCTTGTAAATCTTATGGCAGAATACCTCTAGTAATCTTAGCTCTGCATCTGGATGCGACAACTCAACCTGTTTCACAACACATCAGAGTAGCAATTAAGATAAACTAATGCTAGAGAAGCGTCAGCAAAGAAGAAATCTTATGCTATGTTAAGCTGGGGAAGAAAGAGGAAGGATATGAGGAGGGCGCGTAAAGAGGAGAGGCAAGTCTACCCATTGTTTCATTAGGAAGAAAAGAAGAAGTTTAAATGGAGGGCTTGTGACCCTCCACATAGCCCTTTTACAACCTTCGAATATTCATAAGAATGAAGAAGTTAAATGGCTTTACTTCCCTACAAATTGTATTTAGCATCAGGAGAGAGGAAAATTATTCAAAAGAAAAACAAATCAACCAGCTAAACATATTTCCCTTCTCAACTTTGAACCAATGGCATTAAATATCTGCTACAAAACCAAATAAATGTAGCGAAAGGGTCGGGCTGTTCAGTAATTAGAAGAAAATTTGTTCAACTTAGCTTAACCAAAATGCTACCAGGCCAGTATATTACCTTTGTCTTTAGATTTTTCATTACATCATCCACAGTACTTTGTTTTGGTAGACTGATCATGTGAATGACCACCTAAATAGTAAAGAAGCAAGAATTGAAAATTAATATCTTATAAAAATGAAAAAGAAAGAAGGAAGAAAACAATAAGAATCCGTTTTGCATACTCACTTCATCTTTGGTAGCGCGATGAAAAGCTACTTTAAAGGGTTTCAAACCTTGAAATTCTGGCAAAGGAATGTCCAGTACTTCATAGTACAATATATCAGAAATCTGTGAAAGATTAATTAGAGATAATAAGACTTTCAGGAACTCATGCTTAGCATTATCCAATGAATTTAGCACTCACCTTATTGTAGTGGACCAGCATATTTACAAGGTAGTCTAAACCTCGGTATTTTATTGGTTGAGGTTTAGGTTGCTGAGACAAGCAGTCATGGGATGTGAGCCTAATTTTGGAGGGATCATCCAACTCGAGTTGTTGAGCAATTCTTCCCACAACTTCATCATATGTATTGATTCTAGACCTAGCATTTACAAGAAAACGTTTGAAATAGTACGAATGCTCAAATTTGGTCAATGGCATAGAGAAACAAAACAATAGAAGGGAAAAAGAGAAGTGCATATCTGAGGTTTTTGAACATACAGCTCTAAACAGAAACCCTGCTCCTTGGGTTTATCTAAAGATCGGAAGTGAACGACCTGAAAAACATAGTAGTATCAGAAATCTGATGACTGCCAAAAGAACAACAAAGTCACGTACATACTTCAAAACACTGTTGGAAAACAAGTTGATTTAAGCAGATCTTGCCTTACTGTTTATTGCTTTGAAATTAAAATCACTAAGTATCACACTAGGTGTTCTCATTTCTTTTTCTTCACATTCTTTTCCAGATTTGGTAACTAAAATCAAAGCTAGAAGGCCCAAATGTTAAGGCCTCGGTTCTAATATTTCAGACAATGAGTCAATACAAAGCTAGAACAATTGTCATCTTATCAGAATTTTAAAGATCTTCAGCTACTACCAATGTATGGAGGGAGTCAGCAACCCCCCCCCCCCCATTAACTGTATGCAAGTAATCCAAGGAACTTATCAACAACCCAGTATGTAGTGCAACAAAAATCGGGATTTAGATTTCAGCTAGTTTTCCCCCCAGTAAAAGTCTTCAGTACATGCAAGTAATTTGAGAAGCAATCCACAATGGTATCATCAAGTAATTTGAGAAGCAAGTTGGGATTGAGGTATATGAATCCTCGCTGACCATAATTGTTACTGACCATATTTAGACATAAAATACCTGGCGATTGTGAACGTACTCCAGGAATGAAGGAACATCAGGATAACGAAATTGTTGTCGACTTTCAGCCGTTAGAGATTTTTGGAAGCATACTATATCACCATCCTCAAGCTGCACAGAAAAAGGACAAAGGATCACTCATAAGAAGTGTACATTGGCATGACTATACCCATAATGGTGTGGTCAGGGCATACCTCGTTTGATCGAAAAGTGGAGTTCTTGTCAATGTTTTCACACATGACACTTGGTTCGAACTTTATTTCCTGGACACAGAAAAACGATTGTGGGTTTTTTACTACAATTGTTATAATCCTAATTCTTTAGATATTTCCATGCGATATTACAGAATGACAATGCAAAACTGCCACTTAAATATATCAATGAACTAGTAAAAGAGGCCAAAAAAAAATCTATTCATGGCTTCTAGATTTGCAATCTGCACTTGAAGGTTGCATAATTATGGGAAGAAATCAGCTGCACAAGGTAAAACTAGAAATAAATAAGATATCCAAAATCATAAAGGGCCGCTGTTGCTGTTTTGACTAGGACCTCATCAGGATCTTCAGATCCTATATAATTTAACTATCAATATTTTAACACATAAATTACTGTCAAAGACACTGTAGTACTTTTTATATATAACCTTTCATAATGGGAATCGCCGGCGAAACTTGCCAGGAAATATCACCCAAAAAAAGAAGATATTTTGAGGTTAGAACTGTCTTTAAAAGGAGACATGGTACCATAAGAACAGTCACCGAAAAGAGAAATGAGAAGAAGCCAAAAAACTTTGGACGGGGCAAGAAACCTGGAAGAAGCTGCTTAAATCTCTACTGCAATCACAGAGGTTCAAATACCATATGAGAAAAGAAGAAGAGACAAATAGATTCTATTGAATAATGGATGTTCAGTACAAACTAACACCTTCTCACTGGTGTTAAACACAATAGATATCATATTCTCCAATGTGAGAAAATATACAACTTAAGAACCAAACTCTAACACAGCAATATAGCAAGATCATCCTTCTTGTTTTTATTTTTTGTATTTTGGATAGAACGATACTTGTAAGTTTAATGGATCTTAACATAATCAATTTCGACTTGGTACAATAACTTCAAATTTGAGATCACAATGAATTTCTAAATGCTTCTAGCTTCACAGGAATTCTTCATTTTCTCAAGAACTGTGGAGGTTTATTTATAGTCCCAACGGTCTAGAATCCCTAAATTTAAATTTGCATAACTCTTGAAAATAATGGCATGTCTAACTTCGTCACATATTCACCAATACAAGAGAGAAAGAGAGAGGAGCATAAAAGTAATCAAGACAAGAAAAGCACCATCGCGGGAATCTTTCTGAAGGGGTAGAATATACTTTTATACAAACGAGGACTAGTCTCTATGATGTCTTAGAGTTAGTATAATAACTGGGTGTCATTAGCAGAACTCATATTTTGGTGTCATTTCTACTTTCTGCATACCACTTTGGGAGTTTTTCCTCTAGATCAAAACACTTATTACAATATCAAGAAAAACAAAAACAAAAGCTAAAATAAAAGTTATTTGATCAGCAGACAGCATAACATTTTTTCATAGTGTTATGCACATGAACTGGACCCAAGGAGTAACGGCAATGGAACCAAACATTTTTAACATACTGCCAACATAAGGAGGCCGAATGGAAACAAGCTACAAAAGCAGAGCACTTTAGATCTTGTCAACTGCAAGTTCTGGAATAGTCAGTGATTTGCACCTTAACACACCTCAACAAAGCTTCTTGCTTCGCAATTGGTACAGAGTGATCAAGGAGTGTACAGTATATCTAAGATGTTCTAGGAACAGACCTCATAAAGCTCAATCTCTTGATCTGGGGCATAGCCAGCCATTGCATTTAGTTTGCTCAAGATTTCCATGGGATTACTGATTCCCTTCGCAAAGAGCCTTCCAACATACCTGTGTACATGAAAGAGAAAGACATCATAGATTGCCAAAACAACTGTCATGTAAATGCAAAAAATGAAGAAGATAATTTCTGATACCGCATATCTTCTTTCTCAGGATCATAAAGCTTGAAAAAAAGCAGAATATCATCTTTGGCCTTTTCCGGTGGAGAGAGGAGCATTAGTTCCTAGACATTATGCATAAATTATATGAATTCTGGTCATAAAGAAAAGATCTTAAAATAAGCACCACCACAGCACACTGGTAATGAATATTTACCGGTCCCAACTCTACTTCCAGAAACAATTTTAGCTCTGCATTGTGAAACTTATTGAACACTTTCCTCAGTTGTCCAACCTACATTCAGGTAAAAACTTGTCAAAATAACCAAACAAGCAAATGATTTTCATGGCATGAGCTTTTAAAACTGTCAGTTAGTGGGGTTTATTAGTAAGTTAGTGTATCAGTTCTCATCCTCTAATTTGGAGTCACCCGTAACATGTACATCTCATCCTTACTAATTTGGAGTCACCCATAACGTGTACATCTCATCCTTACAAGCTCTAGCATCTTCGCATGCTATAAATAATTATAGACTACCGTTGAATACTCTTGGGGCAACGGATAGGTAGGTGTTACCTAGAGGATATGGGTTACCTTAAATTATTGACCCTACAGTTGTGGGATGGGGATATACATCTAATTTTCTGAAAATCCCTTCATGCGGGAGCTTCAAGTACTGGGGTACATCCTCTTTATACTATAGCACCACTACCACTAAATCCAACTGTCAAAATAAATTCTATGAATAGAAATATTTACAGTTTGAGCTTCTTCAAGACGGGTCAATGGCCGATCAGGACGATACGTGTGATTCTGACGCTTGGCCCAGAGCCAATAACGTTGAAATTGCACTGGTACACGAAACTCTTTTTTGATATCCTCCTGCATAAAGCTATATAATTAGTCAACATAATAAAAAAGTATGTCAGGACATTGCAGCTAATGCATCTGAAAAGATTAATGTTACAATTATCACGAAACAAGTCCCCAATATGGCTTAAGTAACACGGACTTATAATATACAACAAATAATATGGCTCAAGTAACATAGACTTATAATATACAGCAAATAATCTGGATCAAGTAACGTGGACTTATAATATACAACAAATAATATGGCTCAAGTAACATGAACTTATAATATACAACAAATAATATGGCTCAAGTAACATGGACTTATAATATTCAACAACAACAAAACCTCAACCCTAAATGGGGTGGGCTATATGAATCCTAACTAACTATATTTCTCCATCCAAACTTATCTCAGACTAAACATATTATCAAATAAAATGAAATAAAAGTAAAAAAATTACTAGAAATTCTCTATATTTGTTATATATTTAAGTGTCGAATTCAGGAATGAATCAGAAATGGGTATATGAAACTTTTTCGCAGCTTTTTAGTCCTAAAGAATCTATGCGAAGTATCTATACACATGTAATATTTGTTCAGCAAGGGTAAACCTAGGTATTAAAACAGGAGGATTCGAAATGGAAAGTGGCACCCTGGGTGTTGTGAGAGAAGGATGCATACTAAAGTGAAAGGTAGGTTCTACAGAACAGTTACAAAACCGGCAATGTTATATGGTAGTGACTGTTGGGCCACTGAAGTCCAACAAATGCACAAGATAAGTGTTGCAGCGATGCAGATGTGCGGTAATACAAGATTAGATAAGACTAAAAATATCATATTTGTCAGAAGGTGCAAGTAGCATGCATTGAGAAAAAAATGGAAAAGGTTGTTTGAGATGGTTTGGTTATATCTTGCATCAACCTACAAATGCACGTGTAAAACTATAGTGAGTGAAGGTGTTAAAAAGGGACAAGGTAGACTACACAATTTCATGGAATCAATGCAGGCATAGCAAAAATTAAGGCACAATGGAAAGGAAAAGATTCAAATAGGTGATATCTACTACTTGAGAATAGACTCTAGTCTTGTTAGTATGCTGGTTTTCAACAAAAGAAACAATATTACCAGATTGTCTGGTTGAGCAACGGCTTTGTACAGCAAGGAAGGGGGTGCATATAGCAGGAGTGAATGAACATCAAATTATTAGCTGGATTATACTGACGCATCTAAGAATCTTATGCCCAAGGTCAAATAGTTTTACCACGTCAATGCAGACACATTAATCTAAAGAAGTATACATCTGAGCATCTTCATCTACTTCATAGGATATACTACCAATTTTAGCAGTAATAAACTGTATCTCATTTAGTGTTACTGAACTTATCTCAGTGCATTTTACTAGAGCTTACAGCATGTAGACATGCAAATAAATCCTCAGTCTAAAAGCATTTTGAGATTAAAAGATAGCTGGTTACCTTGAAAGCACTAAAAAGTGTCTCTCTTTGAATGCGGAAACTCTTAACTTTCTCATGATCCACTAGATCAAAATATATATCCTTTCCAATCTGCCGTTGCATATCTTCATCGCGAGCAACCTAGTCATGTCATGTAATAATTAAAAGGTTACTCGGGCAACAGGAGTTTGTCCTAATCATTGTGAATGGTGGTATATTAATAAAAGACCTTTATAATTGTGTAAAGGTTTGCCTCTGATTCTTCCTTCTTTTTCTGCTCTTCATCCTCTTGATCTCTTTTAAACCTTGCCTTGAAGATGTCCATAAGTATAGTCAGATCAACATGTGAAATAGGTGCAATGATAAAGAGACAGCTCATGCTGCTGGTGCTGTATCTTACCCTCAGGTGTTCACCTATGTCCTTCTGATCAACATTACACATTATTTTCTCTTTATCACTTTCTCGTATATAGACCAGTAAGTAAGCATTTGAGTTCTGAGAAATTTGAAAGCCGTATTCAGAATTTGTCTGTGGCAACTGCTATCAATCCAGAAGGGACATCAAAATGAACTCAACAAATCTGATATCCTAGGAAAGATCAAGACCAATGAGTAAAACCAAGTCACAGATTACCTTCCCTTGACCACCATATTGCTCTTCTAATGCCCTTTTTGCATCTACTTTAGTCACTCTTTCATCATCAAATTTATACCTGGAAACATTCACGTTACTTGCCTAGGAAGCAGAATCATAGACTTGCAGAACGAACCAAAGCACAAAATAATAAAGCAGACAAATGAAAAATTGCTAGGTAACTGAAGTATAAGATGGCCAAATATGATGCAATGGAATATGAAACATGGTCAGTTAATTGAAGTGTAAGACAACCAAATATGATGCAACGAAATACTCATTGTCCGATTGTATACTAAAAGATTAAAGGAGGACCCACGTGGAAGTTGAAGTAGATTAACCAACTAGCAACTTCTGATTATGACTCTGACCTCTGTAAGCAATAAGCCTCGACGATCACATCATATACACAGGAAAAACACATAATAAGGGGGCATTTCAATGTACCGAAACTGGAAATAACTCTCTGAATTCATTTAAGGCAATATAGACTAATAGAAGGAGAAATTTCTTTGAACAGTAATAAGGCCAAAAGAGCTATAAAATAATCCATTTCATACTGCCATTAAGATCAGACAAATGTTTCATCCTAATATTTCAGCATATTAATCATGCAAAATAGAAAAGATAAGTTGTTATTACCTACTTAAAAAAATGGAGAAGTTAAGCCATCTTGTGTGGAAAGTGGAAAAATTAATATTATAACTATGTCCTTCTTGAGACATTCATAAAGCTAGTTCTCTAGATATGTGAAAGAGCAGCAGCAAGGTGATTACAGTAAAAGGTAAGAACATAGATATTGTCAGTGGTAAATACAACCACAGAGATGAAAACAGATAGACAGATGGAGATACACAAGCGTTGTGAACACAAAAGGCAACCAACATATTTACAAAGAAACAGACGTTGAAGTATTCCAAACAAACAAACAACAACATACCCAGTGAAATCCCACTAGGACGTTGAAGTATTCCATTCTAACTAAATACAAACGACTTCATTTGATCTGTAATACAGACACCAAATAGACTCCTTACAAAATGTACCGTCCTAGTTTTAACAGATCCAATTATAGGATGGACGTTTGTCTGACTGAGGGTGAAACACTTCCTACTGTATACAGTGAAGAATGTTATAGCCTTTTAGGAAGTGGGTAAGGATGTTTTACATGTTCAGATCTGGAAAGCCTAAGCCCCATGGAATATGTAGTTACTTCTCTTTTTGAAATAAACTAGTTTGGTCTCTCAACATTATGATAAACAGGAAAAACTGTCAATCACTTTCAGCCATAAGGATGCCCAACATGTTAGGACAACTCATCCTACAGGCTAAAGCTTAGGATGCTTCGGGAAGAAGCATTTTGATTTCCCAAGTTCACAAGACACTGGAGGCAAGGAGAAAATTCATGCAATACACAAAAAATAAACAGAAAACAGTAACATGGTATGAGACCAATAACAGTTGTTCTGTATGATGAAAACAATGGAACAACCTGAAGAAGTACGATGGATGGCTTTTTGAAAAGAGACTTCCAATAACATAGTTTTGTATAATGTCAATAAATGCTCTAACTCCAACTCCAAAGCAGGCAAAAGCAATTTATAATCAAAAAGACTATAGTTATTACGAATCAGAAGAGGAAGAATTCAGTTGTGTAATACTTCAAGATTTCAAAAAAAAACAATGATAATTCACGTATGAAGAGACAAACTTGTGCGTAAAATGTTTACCACTGGTTTGAAAGAGTTGGCCGTATGAAAGCATAATAGTGTCCACCTGTCACACTACCCCCATGGACTAATACACTGCCAAGAAGGAGGTTGAAAAATGAACAGATGAGCTACATTGTCCAAAAAAAAATGAACAGCCGAGCAAAAGTCTTTGATGTGAATTCCACAACCTTAAGTACATGAAATAACAATATTCCAGTTGACTATCTTAGGTAGGCTTCCTGCACACAGAAGTCTATTATGATATACTTGGTCAAGCATACACTCATCCAAGAACCACCTATTCATCACAAATAGTGTATCCAATTGTTGTAGCATCACGATTCGAAATGTACCAGTCTCTATGCTCACATGCTTATGACTTCCAGTGAATCAGACTTTCAATGGAAATTTGAGTTTCTAAAATCTATCATATGAGGGAAGATATAGTGTCTTCATCATTGCCACTAATTGTCATTCTTGTTACATCTCAAGATCCTTTTAGCTCACATTCTTCTTCATCATCATATGACCTATGCATGATTTGCAAGGGATTTATGTACTAGCTTTCTGTTTTCTTCTTCCTCCATCCTCAGATTGCAGTGGGCTGAAGCGGAAGAATCACTACATTATGCGCTTAAAACTATGCAAGGATCAGTTTCTAAATCATCAAGGCAGGTTCTGTTTCACTCAGCAAGTTTGTTAAATTTGTTATTTAGAAAAATGCTGATATGTGAAAGCTCATTATGAATTGAACTGCCACCAGGCAAATTTTCTTGTTTCCATTGTTCCCATTCATTTACTACCTGAGCTATTACTTATTTTTCAGGGTTGGCTAAATATCTGGCCCATTTCATTAAAACAATTGACCCCTTTTCCTATTGTAAGGTAAATAATTTTATTGATGTTGGTGGGTGATTTAGAGGGGGAAAATGCAATTATAGTTTAACACAAAAATGGAAAGTTGATTTTGAAAAAAATCAATAAATCATAATTAAAACTTCAAAGCATATGATACCTGTGAAGTGTGTAAAGGTTTCTGACAGTTCTATCAGCCTCGGAAGACAAGTATTTACCATTCTCTCTGTCCAGATCAAGTTGCAAAGGGAACTCATATCGGTCATTTATCTACATTGCATCACCAATAAATAATTGAATCAATCAAACCATACCAAAAAAAATCAAGATGACTTTTTTACATAAGTAATCTATATTTATTACTTTAAAAGCATGAAGGTCCTTAGAAATGTCATTTACTATTTTTATCAAATTATTATTTAATTGTCTTTACAATATTGACTCAAGACTTTTGAACTGTGAAAAATTAAAGAGTCTTAAAATATATGGTAAGACGAAAATATATGACAAGAGTATTAGGAAAATTATCATAGCCTAAAATATATAGGAAGAAAAATTATAAAATGTCTCCAAAAATATATGGGAAGGAAAATTAATGTTGGTAGGTTTTCTTTTTCCTTATGGGAAGGAGAATTAACTTTTTAGAATTTCAAAAACAAAACTATTTAAAATAAAAGATAGTTGGGCACTTCTATATATAAAATAAGAAAAAGTTTGCTCGAAGGCAGCCTGCATCTTTGTCTTTACAATATTGACTCAAGACTTTTGAACTGTGAAAAATTAAAGAGTCTTAAAATATATGGTAAGAGGAAAATATATGACAAGAGTATTAGGAAAATTATCATAGCCTAAAATATATAGGAAGAAAAATTAGAAAATGTCTCCAAAAATATATGGGAAGGAAAATTAATGTTGGTAGGTTTTCTTTTTCCTTATGGGAAGGAGAATTAACTTTTTAGAATTTCAAAAACAAAACTATTTAAAATAAAAGATAGTTGGGCACTTCTATATATAAAATAAGAAAAAGTTTGCTCGAAGGCAGCCTGCATCTTTGGTTCTCTCCCTCAACTGGGTCAGGTTTATACTGCTTCCTGCAACCTGCACACCGTTCATTCTCACTAATTTATTCTATCATCATTCAAAACTTGAAGTTCTTTAATTTCTAGTACTGTTCTTATTTGCTCATTTTCAGTGAATTATTATTTTGATTAGTGAATCTTATTTGATTTTCTTTTTTTTTTAGACTGGTATAGCTTATTTGATTTTCTTGTGTTTGTGTTCAATAAAAAGTTAAAAAACTCACTTCAATGATTTTTTTCCAACCCCGTTGTTAGGTAATTTTGGCTCAATGTTTTCTTGGAACAATGTTGATGGAAGAGGCAAAAGTTTTGTCAGATTTCTTCCTAATTCTTGTCATGTATATATTTATATGTCATGTATACATAAAAAGTGTTCCTCGCATTTATTTCATGCTTACATTTATCATCATTCAAAAATTGGAGTTCTTTAATTTTTAGTATTGTTCTTATTTGCTTATTTTCAGTGAGACATAAATCTACCAATAATATTTAAAAGTACTATTTTTTTAATGCGTCAAACACGTGCAACACAAGTACACTAGACTAGTATATAGAGGAAAAGCAACAGACATCCAACAGCAGAAGAACACTTGACAGTCTACAACAACAACATACACAGTGAAATCCCGGTGTGGGAACACTTCACAGTCTAAAGTTTTAAAATCATGGAACAATAGCTGGCACTTGCTAGACTAAAAGAGTACTAACCTTTGAATCATTGCCTCGCATATTATCATATTCAAAGCGCTTTAAATGAAGCTGCAGGACGGGGGGGAAATCAATAAACAACGCACCCTTCTTTGCATCCTGAAACAACCATAATCCTCGGTATTAGATAAGGTTGATTTTGCAAAAGAGTGACCAAAATCCTCAACAGTGTAACCAAGCAGAGAAGCTGAAAAGAAATGAGAGACAAGGTAGGCAACAGAAAATTGAAGCTTAACTTCGCTGAAATTTTTCATCAAGTTGCTCAAAGATCATAGCAAAATACAAAACTCAATAACTCATGTGCTAACCTTACCTGCAAACCATATACCTCTGACTTATATTTGTTATCACCATCAAGATAATCAACTTCAACATATTTATCAAAAGAAGCATAAACATCAGAACAACCTTTGACAAGAAGCTGAATATCTGCCACACACAAATGTACAAAGCATCATAAGATACAATGATAAAATGGCTAAGAAAGAAAACAGCAGGAACTTGTTTGATCAACTGAAGATACCATTAAATGTCTCCTTGTGCGTAGATTTGTAGTCCACACTGATACACTCAATGTAGCTCATATTGTGCCCTTCAAATAACTGTTGTATGGTACCCTCCACAATGGTTCCCTAACACCGGCAGAAGAGCAGCTATCAATCAGTTACCAAAGCACAGAAGAATAACTTCATATGTGTTTAGAAGCCTGATTTTACCTTCATCTTTCCCTCAAGCTTTTCACATAGAAGTCTATTGAGTTCTTCCACATCATGCTGCTTGAAAACGTCAGAAGAGTCCCACCCAAATGACTTTGTCAACTCCCTTGTTGCTACACTGTCGTCACTGAATTGGAGCTTGTAGAATAAATTTTGCAAGGCCAGGGGCATATCATTCTCAGTTGTAGGCATGTGGTATACAGCCTGTGAACCCAGTGAACTCTTAATGCATCACAATGAGTCCTTTAATTGACCACATAAAAGAATGGAGCATAGTAGCTAACCTTCCTGAAGTAAGGAATATGGTAGAAAGTCTGGAGCAGAGAGTTCAAATAACATGTAGCTCCTTGATTCTTGAGTCCAACAAAATTAGTGACTTTTTTTGAGTTTATTGAGTCGTACGACATATACTCAGAATCTGATAGCACAGCAACCTCAGCTTCAATGGTGCACACATCACCAACAAGATAACCCTTATCACGATCGTATAGCTCAGCAAGTGACATAAAGAGTTCGAAACCCCATTCACTTGCCGTAGAACAGAATCTGTGTTGTGTCTCTGCAAAGCACAAGAAAAAAAAACTTTTATAGAGACCTACAAAAGAACAAATGCAATTATTCTATGTTCGAACTTTTATGGGAGCTAAAACAGCCTGAAGTATTCCCGTTACCTATTGGAAATTGCCAGAACTCCTAGTTACCGTGCTTTTGTCATATGATCTATTTTTAACAAAATACACGATCCTGATAAGCACTTCACACAAGATGAAACCAGTTCCCACAACCCAACTTCCAACCTCCTCCCAAAGAGAAGATGTATAAGAAAAATACAATGAGGCACTAGTGGGAACTAGACATCCTCAATCCCAAGCAACAATCCAGCCTTAGAAAAGGATTCCAACATTAGAAAGCTTTCTTCTAATATATCAAAGCATGAGAAAAATGAAAACCAAAAGACAGACAAACTCAGCAAATCTCAAAAATGGGGTGTGTGCACTGCACACCAGTCAAGGATAAAACAAGGGCCCAAATGAAACACATGCAAAAGTTGAACAAGCAACTGCTTGGCAACTCAACCTAGATCAGCCTACTTATTCTAACCCCCTGGTCGCTGACTGCTTTTTATTTTATTTTATTTTTACCTTGATTGATAGGTTGTTAATGTTCACGGGTTGTATATAATCCAGTAGAGCAGAATGTGCATAACCGACCACATCTAACTTCATACTAAGGCGTAACTGAGTGACTAATTGTCTTTTTATTTTTTAGGTACAATAATAAAAGGATTATTGACCATTCAGAAAACAGCAGAAATAGAGTTCCAGAAGAGAAGCAAGCATCCACAAGCAAAATTACAGGAATGTCAAGGAGTTAGGAGCTCACGTTTTCATTCAAGTTGGCAACTCAGGTTTGCAGGTTCTTTGATCAATCTTCTTACTTTTATTAAGAGATTTTTTTTTAATCGGTAAGAGTAACTTCATATATAATAAAACCAAGAAGAAGTTGTTGGATAATTTACAACCAAAAGTACACCATTAAAACATTTCTATGTGCTGATGAAGTCAATCATGGAACTAGGGGGAAAAGTATGTACATCTCCGAGTTTTTGATGAAGTAAGCATTTTCATTAACGGCATCAAGATTATGCAAACAGTACTATTACAAAAGATAGATGTACATCTTGCCAAGTTACACCAAAACCTAACCAAAATAATACATTTCATTCCAAACGCACCACCAGATTGCAGCTGGATAGTATTGTGGAGATCCTGTAATTGTAAATACGGTTATAGCACGCATGACATGTTGAATGTTAGTACCCTAGTGAACAAAGAAGGTAGAGCGTCGATTATATGGTGGTTGATGATGGAAGACGGAGTACACAGTTTGGATGTTCACGAGCCTTTCATGTGGGAGGAAAAAAGGTAGGTTCTCATCGTCAAAGAGTATGGTGAAAAGGCCAATAAAGGTTTTAAACAAGGATGACGACCGCATTCATTTTCCATTTGGGGAGAAGTTGAAAAATAAGATAAAAAGACAGGAGTGTCATTAGACAATGAAAGCAACAGGGAGGAATAGGTTGAATCAGCTTCCCAAACCACAAGGGTAAAGGAGGGAAAAGGGATTGCCTACCTTAAGAATGTGCCAAAAACCTTAAGGCTATTTCTCTATCTAAGTTGGAGAGCAAGGAGAAAATCCCTATTTTTGTTGTTGTCAATTGATAGGGAAGTAATCATGGCCAAAGGAGTTGAGCCACTGTTGGTGCCTCAATGAGGCACAAAATCAGAACAAGGGGAAGGGGAAGGCAGTTGATTGTAATAAGAAGGAGAGGGCTACTTGGAGCTCATCGAGTACGTTCGCAGCTTACATTTAGTTGGGACAACCTCCTTAAGACCGCTGATAATTGGAAGCAGATCTCCTCTGTTGGATGGAACAGGATAAAGGAGGGTTCCCACAGGAAGGTAGGGTGTTGATTGCATTCAAATATTAAGGTTCAGGAAAATGATCAGCATTAGCTATAGTTAAAGGAAATAGATCACTAAATTGGTGGGAAATAGACTTCTAAATTTCAGGGAACACTTGTATGTTTATTTCAAGGGGAAGAAAGATAGAGTTTTAGAGTAGCTAATTGGTATAGAACAAGAGTCAAGGAGGGAAAGTGATGATGGGAAAAAGGATAGGAGGATGGGAGGGAAAGGAAGTCAGTGAAACACAAAAAGGAATGGGTATGAGAAAAAAAGGGCGAGCAGGGAAAGGGCAAAGTGTCCACATTACATCTTGAAATACACTCACATAAAAAGCACATGATGTCTGTTCTCTATGACTAAATATAGCTATCCAACAGTCAGGTTATTAACAGAGAAAACAACCAGCAGCGCAGGCACAACAGAAAATAAACCCCAAATCTGGTCTTTAGAATTTCAACAGAGAATTTTGGTCTATCAACTGGAGAAGAGGAATTAAATTATGTAGCAATTACCTTTTCTGATTGAGTAATCATTCTGAGTTTGATTAACTACTGACAAACTGAAGTCGGCATATATAATCCACCCACTAGGTAAAGCAGCAGAATCAGCAGCAGCCAGATACATAGACAAGTATTCAGCATTCTTGCCCTTGGGGAAAATTAAAATCCGCCTGTCAAATAGTAGGGAAAAAAAACATCATGGGACCTAAGGTAATAGCTTTACTGTGTACAAAGAATATGAAAGGATACGAAAGAATATTACAATACCATTTATAGCCTCCAGCAATAAAATCGTCAGAGTAGAGCTTCTTTACATTCAACCTAGAGAAGTTCACTACCTTCCAAGTGAATGTTTGGGGATCCTCTGGTAGCTGATTATCCCCATCATTTCCTGTTACTACTGGTGCTAACAAGTCAACATGGAGAAACCGTCAGATCAAAAACTCAAAATCCAGTCGTACAGAACATAGACGTACATATCGAATAAGCCAATGTACAATCAACTAAGATTTGGTTTAATTTGAAAATTATCAGTCAACTTGCATAACATGGATTCCTATACCTCAAGCTTATTTTTTAACCAAATAACATATCAGACACAAGTATACAAAATGAGTCACGATATGTTTGTTTGTTTTATTTCTTATCCTTTAATTCTTTAACTACTTTCTACTTTTGTGTAACCAGACATTCAAGAGTGCCAATGTAGCATGAATGAGTATCCCCTTTGAACAACCTATCAACTATATAAACATGGGAAATGTTCTATCGATCCTATAGTCCCCATTCTTGAAATAGTATAAACACAAACACGCTGCTTCTTTTTCCTCCTCACAGGCATTCAAAATGTGTATCCCCTTTGAACAACCTATCAACTGTATAAACATGGGAAATGTTCTACTAATCCTGTAATCCCCACTCTTGAAATAGAAAACACAAACACGTTGCTTCTTTTTCTTCCTTGCATGCAGTCAAGAGTGTCAGTGTAGCATGAATGTGTATCCCTTCTGAACAACCTATCAACTGTATAAACATGGAAAATGTTCTATTTATTCTATAGTCCCCATACTTTGAAATAGTAAAATACAATCACATTGCTTCTTATTCTTCCGCACAGACATTCAAGAACCTTTGAACAATACATCAACTGTATAAACATGGGAAATGTTCAACTTATTGTATAGTCCCCATTCTTTGAAATAGTAAAACACAAACACATTACTTCTTATTCATTTGCCCTAAGTTGATACAAAAAAAAAATAAGAACAAATAACCCAGAAAACGTTAATTCTTAAGTACCATCGCTGCGCTGATATCCTTCACCACGTGGAGGCAGCAATGGCATCATCTCCATATCTCCTGGCTACTCAAACATAAACACAAAGAGCAAAGAAATCTCAAAAACTAAGCCAAAATTCATCACTATACAAAACCCTAAAATCCAAAAAGAGTTGCAACGATTGTAAGCCAATCAATGTATACTGTGTTCATTAATGAAGAACACGAAGACGATACGTAGACTTACATTCTTAGATGTTGAAGCCATAATGGTGATCGATGAAGAAATTCCAGTGAATTCAACTTGTTTCGGAAGAAAATGGAAGTGAAAATTGAGGAATCAGCTTGAAAAACGAGAAGTGAAAGTAAGCGGGAAAATGGAAAAATCACCAGAGCTGAATGAACGAAATAAAAGAAGTTTCTCGAATGAATGAGGGTAGTTTAGTCCCTTTAAATACCGAGTCCAAGATTTTTCACGTGATTATAACTGCCTAAACTGTATTCAGTTTTTGTGTTATATAAATCCTACTGAAAAACTTCACTTTATAAATGTATATTTGTTATAGAGTCCAAAACTCCCCTCTATAACCTATGGTTAGTTTTAAGATATTTTGATTATTATAGTGATTGACAGTTTTATTAATTGTAATAATATTTACTTGACTACATATGATTATTAAATTGACATATACTTGACATTTAAATTATATTATCTCACTTTTCATCTTTTAATTTTATGGATATAGGAACTTAAAAGAAGAGAACTATTTTAATGATGAAATATATATTTATAGACCTGTTAATGATAATTTTAGAGATTTTATTTCTACAAAAAGATGGTGAATTATTGTATTGTATTACTGAGAAGGAAAACAATTGTTGTAAAAGGGTAATATTATAAAAAGTGTACTATAAATAAAGATGATTGTTATTGTTATAGGTAAAATTCATTTTAAAAGAGGTAAATATAATGTATAACATAAAAAACAATTATAGAAAAACTTAATTATTATGATGAAGTATTGTTATGAAACTTACAAGGATGTTGTTATAAAGAGGTTTAATTGTACCGATCTTATTCAATAAGTAAATTTTGTGTTTCATTAATTGAGTTTGATAATTTTGCTTTACAAATCTCATTCAATAATTATGTCTTATAATCTCATTCAATAGTCATATTTTATACATCTCCACTTGTTCACTATAAGCTGAACAAATTACATAATATAGACAGTGATTATAATATCAAAAATCATGAGAGAAAGTGAAAGCTACAAGGATAAATCTACACAGAAGCTTGTGAAATAGTTCTCTAAGGGTCGTTTGGTGTGAAAGATAACATCAAATAGTTTCGAGATTAAATTACAGAGTCACTTAATTTGTTGTTTGATTGGCAAGTCCGGGATAACTTATTCCGGATTAATAATTAGTACCACGATGAGTTATCCTTCCCCTTGGGTGGTATAGTAATCTTGTGATAACGTATCTCGGATAAAATAGGTAAATGACAAACATGTCCCTTTAAATCTTTTATATACCTCACTTTTCACATTCATGTATATTTACATTTTTTAATACCATGTATAATAACATTCATTGTTCTTTATTTTCATGACAATTCTTCATATTTTTCTATTAAAAAATTCTACTATATAAATATGATTTTTATTTATGAATTTATTTGAGTAATTTTATGTTTATTTATATTTTATTTTTTCATAAGTCCCTTTTAATTTAACAAACTTAAGATGAAAATTATATTTTTAAGCTAAATAAAAATAAATTTTGTTTTAGGATACATACGGGACCATCATGGAAATGCACATAGAAAAATATTTAAGCTAAATAAGATGAAAATTTTATTTTTAAGAATAAAAATCTAAAACTCACAAAGAAAATATAAAAATCTAAATAAAGTGAAGGACAAGTTTGTAAGCAAACAACTCGTTGGTCTAACCCCCCCCCCCCCAACCTATACCCGAAATCCCAACTACACACTCCAACTTCACGGATGTCCTATTACCCTCCTGAACTTCATATTTCTCTATTTTCTACACACTTAAACGCTGACCTCAAACACATAAACCAAACAGATAGTCCACGTGATTGCACGCGCCGGGTCCCCATTTCTGTTGATGATCGAAGGATTTTGCTGTGCATTTTGAACTTGATTTCGTAGTTATCAACTAATTTTGGGTTTGATTCATCCATACAAAGCTTATTCAAGTTTTCATTTGCCATTTTTGATGAATTTCGAGAAAATTCAAAATTCAAATTAGAGACTTAAATAAGAAATTAGAGCAGGTTACAAACCCTAAATTCAAGATTTGAAGTAGAAATGAACATAAACAACTAAACCTACTTATTTTTGAGAGAAAATTGTGATTTTTTTCTAAAAGGAACAAGGGTTAATGGTGGGGAAGAAGAAACAATGGTTTATTGAAGGGTGGGAAAGATGAGTATTAGAGAAAGAGGAATTTTTCGTCAAAATTCACTTCTAATGTGCCTAGAGGAGGTGAGAACACCTCCTATGACAGGTCAGGGTTTAAGTGTGTAGAGAATAGGGAAATATGAAGTTCAAGGGTAATAGGACACCCGTGAAGTTGGAGTGTATAGTTGAGATTTCGGGTATAGGTTGAGGGGTTTTTAGACCATTTTCTCTAAAATTTATGCAATACATATTATTTGTATATAACAAACCAAACACTCAATAAGAAACAGTCTCAGCATAACTTATCTCATTATAACTAATTCCGTCATAACTTATCTCATTATAACTAATCCTATCATAACTAATTTCAACCAAACAACCCTTAAATTATTAAGAAAATGATTTACTATTAAATTAAAAATGGGAAAATTGATAATAGAGAGTGTTGTTGAAACGGGCTAAGTGTAGATACAAGCCCAGTCCAGTCCGGGTTCCAAAGGTCCATCATAAAATCGAAGCCCTATCGACCCGGCTTCATTTCTTCGAACTACAACAATTGGGGATTTTGGGATTTGCTCGATTAGCAGTAAGAAACGAGAAATCTGTCTGATGGATAAGCAGGAAAAGAAGGAGAAATCAGAAGGATTGAATTCCGAATCCAGTTTGATGCGCAGTGAGAACGAAGAGGCGGAGGCTAACGAGGATCGCAGCTTGAAAATCGTAGAGAAGGCTATGATACCGGCATCATGTTCCAATGTCATTGAAGAGGACGAAGCTGAGATTTTGACGAATATCGAAATGGTAAGTGGAAATTGCAAGGAAGTAAAGTGGAGGAAAAAATGACCAAATTATTGTGACCGAAGAGGATCCCGGCAGTGGTTGAATTTTTAAAAATTGATTACTCATTTGTATTGCTGTTAGTTGTTATTTGGATTGAGAGTCACTAGAGGAAGCATGTTTATGTAGCATTTAGAAGTTGAGTTAATTGTACTAACGTGTGGTTGACTAATCGGACTCCTTCTCGATTTCGTTGTGCAGGTGTCAGGTGGAATTGACAAGGGTTTCAAAATCTTCTGCAGGGACATGTTTCCGGTAGTCTGAAATTGCTTGCTGTAAATTGTCGAGTAGATTTTTGCAACTTGCATATTACTGCTTATTCTTTTGCTTGTTGCATTGCCAGCTTTCTTCAGAAAACTAGCATCCTCTTTGATGTTTGTCTTGACATATAGGTTTAAGAGGCTTCTTTATTTTTTGTGTTATCTTGGTGGTAATGCAGGAAATATAAAACTAACAGCTGAAAAGTTAGTTTAAGGAAAAACACCACATTTGTTTGTTTGTTTATTATAATTTGTTTAATCACTAAAACCAAACTTCAAAAGTTTTTTTTTCCATCATGATGTTATATCTAACTTGAAAAACCTCAAAAAAATTCCTTCGCCTTATGACAAGTTCTCCTTTTGTTAATAGGACTCAAATTGATCCCAACTTTTAGATTGGTTGAATTGGGTTGTGCCCAAATTGATGTGCTGATGAATATATTCCCACCCTTAGCTGCCGAGTTTGGTTTTACATTTTATGGTCTAAATTTGACAGCCCTACTCTTCATGGAATAAATACCTATTACTGCCAAACTAATTTCTGCTTTATATTTTGGCCCCTTTAGCCGAGGCTTTATCGGAAACAGACACACTACACTCCCTAGACTACACTTGTGGGTCTATCTGCAAATAGGCTTTTCTTTTTAAGAAAGGAAAATGGAGAAAAGACTAGCTAGAGTCACTTTGTAATACTTGACCTACCAGTTAAAGTATTTCAAAGTCGCTCTAGATGGTCTTTTCTGCATTTTTTGTTGAAGCAATACTTGCCAATTGGCTGACCATGAAAATCCAGGGAACTAACTAGCAAACCAGATATCCTGATCGAGTTAACTATAAGAAGAAACACAAGATTGACCTTGAATAGGTGTATTTTAATAATATCCAGCTGATAAAAATGTCTTCAGCTTTGCTGCAGCCCACTGTCTTTGTCAACATTCTCAAGTACCTTACTAGACTTCCTCCCTCCTCCATCCCCAAGTATTCACTCATCTCTCCTTTCTGTTTTCATTTCATCGGTCACCTGTGGTCCTTGATAGCTCAGCAGTTTGGCACCATTACTTAAGTTGTTTTCATGAAGGGGACTTTTGAATGCACACTGAGGCCTGTACCACATGATGACGTATACTTGCACAAGCTCCTTTCACAAGGGCATCTCATTATATTCTTTCATGACCTAATTTTGGCAAAAGTGCAGTTGCTAATGTCTTTCTTGTGGTGAATCTAGTATATAAAAATTTTGTTGTCCGATCCCTGTAAGAGTATAATCTTTCCTCTAAAATAAATAAATAAACTACTTTGCAGATTTTACAGTTGAGTTGATTTCCTTCCTGCTGTTTTCTGGGGATATGTTACTGTTATATGGTTGTCTTTGGATCTGTATGTGAGAGTTCTTTTTTCTCTGATTCTCTTGGGTGCTGTGGACCCTTGCAAGCTGCATTTATTCATCACCATCTATTTCTGATTTAAGTAGTTTATTGTTGTATATTTTGGCCCCTTTCTGTTTTGAGTTGCAAGGTTAAGCTGTACTCTGTTTTATATTAATTTGAAAGTTATTGAAAATATTTCCTGCGTCTTAGAAACCATAATCCATATTAAATGTTGAGCTTGTGATCTCTAACATTGATGTTTTCTTCTTCTTTAATGCATTAGGAGGACAAAACGAAGGAAAAGGAAAATGTGGATAATACTAAAGCTATGGATATTGGTGATTGTGCAGCTGAAAAGAATCCTGTTGAGGTCTCTGATAATGCTGTTCTACGAAGGCTTCTTGTGAGTTGAAGTAATATGATTTGCAGTGATGTTTTTCCATAATCCAAAAAATGGATTGGCTTGGTCCTACATCTTTATTATTCACTATATGATCTCAGCGGGGCCCCAGGT